AAAAAGTATATATTTTTCAGTCTATTTCATACATGTGACACTTAATATGTGCTACCTATATTACAATTAGATTTTTAAGTAAATATCCTATTTCCCAAATGATTTAGAAACCCTTCTGAGGGCAGCAATTGTATCTTATAGCAATTCTTTGTGTCTCAGTGCCTACATAGTGTTGAAGATTAACAAAAATGGTTTCACTGTATCCTCCCCAAAATCCTGTGAAGTAGATAATACAAGTATAGAGAAGTCTGCTGTTGTGAAAAGAGCACAAGACTCTAAATAAGCAAAGCTCAGACACCTATCCCCAAACTCCCTAGTTGTGTCACAATAAATCTGACTTTTCTGAGCCTCTGTTTCTTCATCAGTAAAATGCAGAGGTTGTTGCATCAAATGAGATGCCTAAAAAGTGCTTTGTCAGCCTAAAGCATTAAGGTAATGTCAATTACTATTATTAGCATCATGAATACTGCACCCTACATGTAGTCAACATATGACAAATACTTGTGACATATTATAGTAGGAAGAGACCTAGACCAGAAGTCATGCAATCCATTATCAAGTTGCAGCACCAACTTAACCTTAGGCTAGTTACAACCTCTCTGGCTTCAGTTCACTCATCTGTAAAATGAGAAGGCTTAAAATTATAGCTCTATCATTTTATGATCTGTGATCTTTCCCTTAAAGATTTGAAGGCACTAAAGAATTTCTAACTTCTAATGCATATAGGAATTGCAAGATATAGACCTTTAGGGATCAATTGTGCAAAAAATTAAAGAGAAAGATGGATAAGGAAACTAAAATTTAAAGAAAATCTAGCAGTCAATAGGTAAGCCTACTCATCTAGGCTGATATATTAATCTACATTGATGACCATTTCATATCTGTAGCTCAAAGTAAACAGGATATTCTTCCTTACTTGTAGTGTTTCCTTGGCCTAAACTTGAAAGCAGGTCAATCTATTCAGGTATTCTGAAATGTTTATCAAATAAAGTAGTATATTTTAAACAATTAATGTAATAAGTAGTTTGTTGAGCACATATTATGCCTGGTAATTACAGAATACAAAAAAGACTATTATGGCAAGGTCCTTGATCTCAGATAAGGCTAACGTGTCATATCTCCTTCATATATATATATATATATATATTTTTTTTTTGGTGGGAATGGGAAGGGTGGGAAAAAGAAGGTCTGAATCTGATTTCACTAGTTTTGGAAACTCTTTGTATGAAAACTCTTTCTGCTAATGCAAATTAGCAATTTTTCTACACCTTATAATCTTAAGAGTTGCATGAGGCACTGAGTAGTGATTTGCTGTAGTTACACAACTAGTATTTCTCAGAACTTGAATTCACACCTTCTTCAGTCCAAAGACAATCCTCTATTGACTATGCCCAAGCTGCCTTTCACAGCCTTAATATTCCTGATCTCTGCTATTTTAGCAGGAAATATCAAATATGCATTCAGTTTAATAACCTCTAAACACAATGTTAGGTGGCATTATTTTACTACTGCTGCCTTTTTTCTAGGTATACTGGAAGTCCGCAGATGAGAGTTAACTAAACTTCAGAAAGAGCATGAAAATACAATTTTAGTTACATAAATCTCATTCATTTGAAGTACAGTATTTCAACTGCAATCAAATATTCGTGGTACTTACAAGCCTTATAAAGTCATTTCCGGGGCAGCTAGGTGGCGCAGTGGATAGAGCACTGGCCCTAGATTCAGGAGGACCTGAGTTCAAATCCAGTCTCAGACACATAACACTTACTAGCTGTGTGACCCTGGGCAAGTCACTTAACCCCATTGCCTAACACTCCCCCCCAAAAAATAAAATAAAGTCATTTCCCACAATAACCAATTCATTTTCTAACAGCATCTAAGGATCTAGATATTTAAGCTTGACAAAAATCATAAGTTTTTCATAATTTGTAGAAGCCATGAAGAAAAACAAAACACATAAAACTTTTTTCATGAGTGTCTCTAATTAAACAACCTCCCTCTCAACTCAACTGCTTAGTCAATTCACAGGTGGACAACTGCTTAAAAATCAATCTTAAAATAAATCAAACATATATACCTACACTAAACTCTTCCACATTGAAAAAAAAAAAAAGAACCAGCAACTTTCTATGTTCTTTCCAACTATACATTCTTCAAGGACAGGTATTGTGCTTTATACTTCTTTTGTACCTTTAACAATGCTTGAATTCAATAAAATTTTAATAAATATTTCAAGTCAACAAATTTAATAAAAATGTATTATATACATGTTAGGTACAAGGCACTGTCCCAGGTGATGGGAATATGAAGACAAAAACAAATCTGTATCCTAAAGAAGCTTACAATCTATTGAAGCGGGAGGCGGAGATACAATATATACACAAGATAGTATGTGGTAATTTGAGGAGTTAGAAAATATCAGTGGCTAGGAACAAGGAAAGTCTTCATAGGAACAAAGCATCATAGATCTAAAGCTACAAGAGACCTCAGATGTCATGTAGTTCAACACTCTCATTTTATAGATGGGGAATCTGATGTTCACTAAGGTCAAGTGACTTGCCAAAGGTCACAAAGCTAGTCAATGGCAAAGCTGGTATTGGAACCCAGTTCTCTTGACTCTAAGTCCAGTCAGTATTCTATCCAACAGACCAGGGGTCAGCCAACCATGACCCTTTGGCCCAGACCTGTTTTTGTATGGTCTGTGAGCTATGAATGTGTTTTTTTTTTCATTTAAAAATACAATATAACTTCATTTGTAAATGTAAAGGTCATTCTCAGCTTTCAAAAGTGGCAGAAGTCTATAGTTTACTGACTCTTGTACTAGGCTACATTTCATGGAGATGACATAAGCTGAGGCTTGAAAGAAGATAAAGATTTTGAGTGACAGAGGTGAAGACAGACATGAGAGACAGGCTGTGCAAGCACTCTAGGAAATAGAAGAGCAAATTCAGGCAATAGCAAGTGGGCCAATTTAGCTAGAATACAAAGTGCGTAAAAAAGGAATAATGTGAAATAAATCTAGAAAAGTTAGTTTGGAATCAGATTATGGAAGGCCTTAATTGTCATACTAAAAAGCTGACATTTCATAAAAAGCCTATCACAACAAAGGTAAGGAACCAAGGAAAGTTTTGAAATAGGGGAGGGAAATAGTCCTGTACCTGGAGGATTTTATTTTGTTAACTGTATAGAAGATGGATTGAAGAAAGGCAAAACAGTAAACAAGAAATTCAATTAGGAGGTTGCTATAAGAGTATAGGTGAGAGGTGATGAGGACTTGAAATAAGGTAATGGCAATGTGAATGGAGAAAAGGGAAAGAATTTAAGAGAACCTGTGAAGGTAGAATCCATAAAATTTGGCAACTGATTAAATGTGAGGGGGATGAGAGAGGGTTTAAAAACTAAGGGTTAACTCCCAGGTTATAAATCTGAATAAAGGGGAAGATGGTTGTGTCCTAGAGAGAAAACTGGGATCACTCAAAAGGCAATGGAGAAGACATAAAGTAAACTTGAACAGGCCCCAAAACAAGGTTTTATGGCAGAGAAGCAGTGTATAAAGGATGCTGACAAAGAAATGTATGAGAAAAAAGAAAAGACTGGCTGGTCACAAGGCAAGAAGAAAGAGAAAATAATGGACAACTCAAGTGTTCCAATGGACTACATGTATCTAAGATCTTTTCCAGATCTATGATCCTATGCTCCTATAAACCTTTCCTTTGCCCTTAGATGTTACTTTTCTAACTCCTCAAATTACCTTATTATATTCTCAATATCAAGAGGAAGTGAGGAAGACCCCCAAAATGCTGAGAAACATCCCCTTCCTCCTATGGTGAACTACTGGAAAGACAAACAGAGCAGTGATGGATTGGCATGGATGGACTGTGAATTGTACTGTTGGAAAAAACACCAATACCACTGTGAGTACATATTCATGAATATTTTAAAATAAAAAAGAAGTATCTTAACAATAGCAGTTGTTCAAATATGCAATAGACTAGAACATAAAAGGTTCCTAGAGCACTGGAGATCCACGACCACCCATCAGATGTACTGTAGTGAGGTTTCCTCCTTGGGTGTGGGTTATACTAGTTGAAACCCTTCAGATACCTGAATACAGCTATATCTCTTCTAAGTCTTCACTTCTCTAGTTTAAACATGCCTAGTTCTTTCCATTGAGCCTCATATGGGCACAGTCTCTAGCTCCCCCTCACAATTCTGGGTACCTGTTCTGTACATATTCCAGCCTATCAATGTTTTTCCTAAAATGTAATACCCCAAAGCAAACACAATACTCCCAAGCCTAAGCACCTACTTCCATCATCATCAAATGTACCAAATAGTATAGCAAGTGAATTTTATGAAGTGAGTTAAAGCCTGTTTTTTAGGAGCTTATAATCTAAGGCAGATAGCACTAATAGAGACAGAGAAAGCTTTCAAGCATATTCTAGGCAGTACTGAACCTGAACTACCCAAGGCAGATGTCTATTTCCAAGGTAAGTCATTCCACTACTCCACTAACAACTGAGTTTATCTTCTGGGCTGTTCAGAAATCTTGATCCTAATTCACCTCAATTCATTAAGTATGCATTTGTTTACACGCGTTGTATTACTTTAGAAAGTTTGCAGAGAATTTTAATACTACCTGAAAAGAAATTTCTTATTCAATAAAAATAAAGTACTACATGTGGGGTCATAACCGGAAAAGGTAGTGAGAGCAATTGCCCTAGAGCACTCTCTAACAGTGATGCTGGGATAGAACAGAATGTGTAAATGGAAAGGTTTGAGAGAATGGAGCAGATTCCCCCATCTACATACATTTCCTGAAAGCCTCCCCCTCCCCCAGATCAGACACTATTGTAGGTATAGAAATTGCATAGTCTCTTAGCCATACATATTTCCATACCTCGCAAGTGTTTTCCTCTGCAAAATGAAGTAGCTGTACTCAATGATTTCTAGGGGTCCCTTTAAGCTCCAATACATGGTGTTTTTCATTACACACATACTTGTGAAAGAGATGTCCACAGGGCAGTTTCCTTGCTGACTGCATGGAGTCCCAGCAGATGGCACAGTCATCATTATTGACAGCTAGTTCTTCAGGAGTTGCAACTGCAAACCTTAACAAAAACAAAAAATAAAATAAAAAACGAAGCAGGAACATCAGTGCTGTTCTCCTAAAGCGCTACAGTAATTCAGAGCAATCAATCAGCATTATTCAACTCTTAATACTATTACAGCTGTTAAGAATGACAACTCATACTTTAGTTTAGAAGGAATATTCATATAGCTTCCCCATAGGAACTGTGTGAAATAAACAGGGCAAGTGTAATCACCCTCATTTTGCAGAAATGGAACGAAGCCTAAGGAGGTCACAGATCTGTTACACAGCCAGTAAATGGATAAGCCAGAGTTGAAAGGAGGGGCTTCTAATTTCAAATCAAGTGTACTTTTCATTGCATTATGATGCCCCACCCTAAGTAGGTGACAAGAAGGTGAAAATCTTTACAAAATTTAAATAAAAATGGTCCATGGTCACTTTTTTCTACATCCTACTCAAGCTTGAGAAAAATATATTCATAAACTTCATCTTATTAAAATTCATGTTTACTGCTGGCAACTTTTAGATTTCTAGCCCAGGGCAGAGAGAAAATTTAAAGTCCTAAAAGTCTGAAAAACCCAGATAAACAATCATAGCAAAAATAACTGGGCTACCTTATGTTCAAATAGTTAACTATGCTTGCAATGGTCTTCCCTTCATGTCTGCCTAATGAAATACTACTTGTTTTTTAAGATCTAAGTTATGTGCCACCTATTCTACAAAGAGAAAGCCCTTAAGCCAAGTAGTAATTAATAGACTCATAAACTAACTAAAAAAGAGTTTCTATATTATCCTAGAGACAGTAGAGAGCTACTGAAAAGTCTTGAGCAGGGCTGTTGCATAATCAGATCTATGTTTAGGAGTATCTTAGCAGCAGTCTGATGAAAGCAAGCACTTAAATATTTGTTAATTGCATAGAATTCTCCTAAGATCATAATATTATGTAAAATTCATAATAAGGTATGACTAGTAATTTTTAAAAACTTAAGGAATTTATTGCTATCCAACATCCAACATGACTGTATCTCAACACTGTTAATTTATGCTCACTTACCTGGCCTCCATATTTCCAACTACACGCAAGTAATTCTTGTGGCGACGGATTCGACGTTGTACCTCATGGAACAGATAACGTAGCTGCATAAAGATCACCAAGCTGGCCATGGACAACCAGATGTTGCCAAATAGCTTAAAGAAAGAAACAGAAAAAAAGTAATAAAAAACTAATGTCCTGAAATTAATGATAGGATTCTGAAAGAAGTCATGTGGCATGTTTCATGGGTCAACATGAATTTGCCATGCCACGTAACTCAATGACTTCTAGCAAACGGCATAATGCACTGCTATCTGATTGCTGTTAAGAATCTTCAAATTATGTCTGAATGTTATATTCTGGATACATCTGATTTCACTCCTAAACAACCGAGTTGGTTTTCATCTTTATTATTTGCAAATTTAACCACAGTAAAACTTAAGCAATTAAAACTTTTAAGTCAGGTATCAGCACAAAGGCTCTTTTTATTAAAACACAATGATAAAAAACTAACATCATAGGAATTCTTGCCTATGTTTATACAGCTACTGCAAAATTACAGAAACCAAACTGTAGTACACAGGCAATTTTATGTTCAAAAATTACCCAATGACTCTAGTCCGCAGAGATGATAAAATCTTCTAGAAATATACTGAAAGACTCAATGGACTAAACATCAGACTAATTCATCCCAGCATGTTTCTTTGTATACTATGTACTTAGGGAAGACACTGAGTTCACAGTTTAACTATCTTTTTATCAACTTGCTCCATTTCATTACATATGTTTCATTTTAAAATTTATCAATGAGCTCTTATCCTGAGTTCTGTTAGGTGATTATTGTGGTGTTACATACCAACATGTGAATATGGTGCATAAGGTCCAGGGACAACAAAGTGAGTTCCATAACAAAATCTGTATAATACACGTAAGTGCCCTTTCCTTCCCATGTCCCTTCATGATTGAGATCCCAGAGGTGAATTACATAACTGTTAAGAAGAAATAATATTTAAATTGTTAAGACTCATTTTAGTTTAAATTTGAAATTCTGCCCCATTTATATAAATGTCCCATCCTCCAAACTAAAACCATAACTAAAAGGGGGACAAGTACAGTTTTTTCTTCATAGTACCAATGTGAAGGAGGAAGGGGACAGGGAGAAAAAGGACAGTGCAAGCTTCATTCTTATGGCAGATAAGCATTGTGGTCTTTTACCAAACTGATCTATGCTTTGGAATCCCCAGATTTCTGGCATTGGGGAGTTCCTCTCCCAAAGACCTTCCCAAATCCTAAATAATACCCTCCTCTATCTCTCCAAGTAAAAAGATAGCTAGCTATAGCTACTAACCGTAAAATCACATGAGCAGTCCTCACTGTCACAAGGAGAGACTGTAAAAAATAAGAATACACATTTTTACCTAATAAAATCCAAGAATATTCAGGTTGAACTCACTTTAGCAATATGATATAAAACAAGATATAATCAACTCAATTAACAAGGAGTTTTTTTAAAATATACCAAGAATATCACTTCCTTTAATTCCCCTGTCTCCTAAAAGTCATCTATTAGCCACTAATAATTCTACCATGAAGGAAACAGGAAGCAAATCAATTTAGTTAGCAGCCCCTCCTAAAGGCTGGATATGTCTGGTATTATCTGCGGATTTAATGATTCTGCCATTTTGTGATTCTTCTTTAGCAGAGAAAATAGAACAATGAAAATATTCACTACGAAGACCTCAGAATCAAGTAAAGGGCTACGTAAGTAACTTTCATGATCATATCCAAGCAGATACTATTCCTGATATTATGAACTCAGACCTTCAACCCAAAGATGAATATTAACCGAGGTTTTGGAAACAGTCAATTCCACCAGATGGCAGTAATGTTATCTGTACTAGAGGTAGTTGTTCTCAAAATTCTTGGGAACCCTTCCAGGCATTTATTTCATGACTAAAAAACCCAGCCCTTTACATTGTTTTTGAGTGAGGTTTATTGGTAACAATGAATTACAGCTTGCTAACATGACCATACCTTATTTAAAGGATATTTCAATTAAAATGATTAATTACAGTCTCGAAGAAGAGATAAGAAAAGCTTCTCTTCCTTTCTTGCAGAGGTTGCGAGAGTACTGGCAAGGAACGCTACACAGAATGTAAGACTTTTTTGATATGGTGGTTAGTTTTGCTAAACTTTTCCCCCTATTTTCATTCTTCATCATAAGAGATGCAACTCTAGGAAGGGAAGGGATACTTTGATAAACACGGTTAATAGTAAAAATAAAAGATATTAATAAAATTTTATTTTTAAAAATAAAGAATATTTCAATAATTGAAAAGATCTATGATTTCATTAGTTATGGCTATTCCCACCACCTAATCTAAATGCATACCTTAGTACTCAGTCTTCATAATTTCAGTAGCCCTCCAAAAATCACATGATAGCTAATCTTCTAGAGTTTAAAAAACTCCTCTATGTATGTATGTATCTATGTATTACATGTGTGTTTTTCATGTGTGTGTGTGTGTGTGCGTGCACGCGTGTGTACACACACACCTATCTAAGGATACTTGGGTTCAATTTAACACAGTTTAAAAATCACTATCCAATCCTTCAAAACAGCTGGGAACACTTTGTAATTCAAAGTTTTACTTAAGTCATTTTCTATTTTTAAACAATGTATATTTAGAAGAGGCTTAATTGTATTCTCTCTACCCAAAAGAGGAAAAAAAAACCTTAGAGAAGGACTAATAGTATTCTTTTTAGACAAAAGAATATGAGGGAAAGGAAGACAAAATCTCAATCTCCTGTGGCTATTTTATACTACAGAAAGATCTATACAATAAAAATTTTGACTTTATTTTTTTAAAAAATAATAAGACCCCATTACAATACTGGCACCAGGGACCAAAAATAAAATTCATATTACAGGCTTTTCAAGTTATAGTGAAAATTATGTACTTTATATTATTATATACAAAGGGGACATGATATAATCTAAAATATAACCAAATCCACACTAGAGAAAGACAGTTTTATAAAGCTTCTAATATACTGCCAAAAAAGATAGTTTAAATAAAAAATTAATACTACAGTACTATCAAATCATATAACCAAAATTAATTATACTTTCCTCAAATTTTGACCATCATATATTAGTAAAAAGTAGAGAGCTGATGGCAAACATTAACTAGCAGATGAATAATAAAACACCTCTAATTCAAACTGGTCAATATGGGAAGTCCATACCAAATTACTTGTAAAAAAAAAACTTTTCCTAATTGTATTCAACATTCTACTTTCAATTTTATTTACTGTATATTTGTACTATGAAAAATTTTGCTGAACAAAAGTCAACTTCATCCCCACTCCAACAAATTTCTGATGAAGTCCAAATTAATAATTTTTGTGGTATGAGCTTTGACATTCCTGAGATTTTAGAACATGCTTCACTATCATAACTGAAGATGAGATTTATTTTTCTTTTAGTCTTCAAACAACATTTTTGCCTCAGACATGTGGTTTCAACGGTGTAGAAATTACCACTGTGGAAATTACCTGCGATGATGTACCTCAGCAAACGTGCAGTCTGAAAAATATAGTCTTAGAGGGTTGCATGTGACACTAGATTGGTAAGTGATTTATTTTTTTGTTTGTTTGTTTTTTGGTAAGTGATTTGTGCAGGGCGATACAGCTTAGCAACTGTTGGAGAAAAAACTTCAACCTAGGTTCTCTGGATGACAAGTCAAACTTCTATCCACTAAACCACATCTCAAGTAACACATCCACATCAAATATAAAGACAAACTAAAAAAATAACTTTAAAAATAGTACAAATCATAATACAGTAAACCTTACTAAACTTTGACAAATTGTTCCATAAATGTCTTAATAAATGCTGACTGGTTGTTATTATGGACCCCTCGGTTATTCTTCTATGACAACACAGTTTGCATCTCATCTTATATAATTTTCTAAGGGCCCAACTTATGGTATACTTAAGGAAAAATGTTTTTTTAATGTTAACCACTTCAAATTACAGCTATAATACCCTAAGGTGAGTAACTTTTCCTACTTCAAAATTAATAACCATTAGTAACTTTACAATTCTTACTGGGTGAAGATCATAAATGTCAATTTCCACTTTTGTGAATACCTCTAATCCCCTTGAAAACACATAGAGAAAAATAGAAATAAGCATATGGCTAGGGCAAAATCCCATAGTGAAAACCTCACCTCTGCAGCCATGAAGGCCAATGTGTGCATTCCGTGGGTGTAGCCCGTCACACAGCAGACAACAGCTAATCCACAACAGGACAGTAGCATAGCAATCAGAAGAGTCAGCACTCGGACATGACTGCTCATCGGTGTGGTGGGAGAAAATGAAAGCTGTAGTAAAATAAAGAAAGAGTCAAGTTAACTGCTGAACTTACACCCAGGGAGGCAGAATGGAGGAAACTTAGCTTCCTAATCAAAATGAGAGTTTCCATCATAGCAGTTTTGTCTGACTGCATGTGACAAGTGCTGCAGATAAAGAGCACTGACTACCTTGGACTGTGATGACAGTGGTCCTCTGATGCATCTTGATGTACACTGACATTATATACTAACTTAACCAAAATAACAGATGATAAGAAGAATGATAGTGAGCGCTGACATAGTGCTTTAAGGTTTGCAAAAAACATTTTGCCATTCACCCCACCAGTGAGATCGGTGCTACAGATCATCTTGTACTAAGCAGAATTCCAGGACAGCATAAGATTTTGTTCTATTTGTATATTTGGATTCATTATGACAAAGTTTGGGAGACTAAGTTAGAAGGTTGAAAGCGGAAGGTATTCAAGTATTTGGGAATATGGGAGGATGGTTAATTTAGCTAGGAAAATAAGAGATTTTATTAACACCTTAAAAAATAGCCTAACCCAAATGGCAAAAGAAGTCCAAAAAGCCAATGAGGAGAAGAATGCCCTAAAAAGCAAAATTGGCCAAATGGAAAAGGAAGTCCAAAAACTACTGAAGAAAATACTTCCTTAAAAATTAGAATAGAGCAACTGGAAGCTAGTAACTTTATGAGAAATCAAGACACTGTAAAACAAATCCAAAAGAATGAAAAATTAGAAAACAATGTGAAATATCTCATTGGAAAAACAACTGACCTGGAAAATAGATCCAGGAGAGAGAATTTAAAAATTATTGGACTATCTGAAAGCCATGATCAAAAAAAGAGCCTAGACATCATCTTTCAAGAAATTATCAAGGAAAACTGCCCTGATATATTAGAACCAGAGGGCAAAATAGAAATTGAAAGAATCCACAGATCTCCTCCTGAAAGACATCCCCAAAGGAAAACTCCTAGGAATATAATAGCCAAATTCCAGAGTTCCCAGGTCAAGGAGAAAATATTACAAGCTGCCAGAACGAAACAATTCAAGTACTGTGGAAACACAATCAGGATAACACAAGATTTAGCAGCTTCTACATTAAAGGACCGCAGGGCATAGAATATAATATTCTGGAGGGCAAAGGAGATAGGATTACAACCAAGAATCACCTACCCAGCAAAACTGAGTATAATTCTTCAGGGGAAAAAATGGTCATTCAGTGAAATAGAGGACTTTCAAGAATTCCTGATGAAAAGACCAGAGCTGAATAGAAAATTTGACCTTCAAATACTGGACTCAAGTGGAACATGAAGAGGTAAACAGGAAAGAGAAATCATAAGAGACTTATTAAGATTGAACTGTTTACATTCCTGCATGGAAAGATGATATTTATAACTCATGAGACCTTTATCAGTATTAGGGTAGTTGGAGGAAAAAAAGTATATGTATGTAGATAGATAGATAGATAGATAGATGGCACAGGATGAGTTGAAGATTAAGGGGTCATATCTGGAGAATAAAATTAAGGGATGAGGGAGGATTATACTCGGAGAAGAAGAAAGAGAGAGGTAGAATGGGGTAAATTATCTCACAAAGAAAAAAACAGAAAAGTCTCTTACAGTGGAAAGGAAGCAGGGCAAGGTGAGAGGGAATGAGTAAATCTTATTCTCATAGGATTTGGCTTAAGGAGGGAACAACATACACATTCAATTGGGTATGGAAGTTTGTCTTACCCTACAAGAAAATAGGGGGAAAAGGGGACAAGAGAGCAGGGCAATGATAGAGAGGAGGGCAGACTGGAAAAGGGTGTAATCAGAAGTAAATACTTCTGAGGAGAAACAGGGTCAAAAGAAAGAATAGAATAAATGGGAGGGCAGAATAGGATTAAGGGAAATAGAGTTAGTTTTTCACAACATGTCTGCTATGGAAGTGTTTTGCATAACTGCACATATACAACCTATACTGAGTTGCCAGCCTTTTCAATGAGGGTGGGTGGGGAGGGAGGAAGAGAGAAAATTTGAAACCTAAAGTTTTAAAAACATATGTTTAAAAAAAAAGTTTTCACATGCTATCGGGAAATAAGAAATACAGGAAATGGGGTACAGAAGTCTATCCTGCCCTACAGGAAAATAGAAGGGGAAGGGGATAAGAGAAGGGGAGGAGAGAAAGAAAAGAGGACAGACTAGGGGAAGGGATATTCAGAATGCATGACATCTTGGGGTGGAGAGAGGGTGAGACGGGTTGAAAATTTGGAACTCAAAGGACTTGTGGAAATGAATGTTGAAAACTACAAATAAATAAATTTATGTTAAAAAAATTTAAAAAAAAAGAAAAAAAGAGATTTTATAAAATTTTATTAAGTTCCTAAAAGTTTGATAGAGAAGACTTAGTTGAGGGGCAACTGACCACAATGTTGGGTGAACAGGCTAGTTCAGGGAAATTCTAAAGACAGATTCTAAGGAAGCTGCTGAGCTATGGTTCAAGTTTTCACCCAAAGTTGAGAGGCAGAGCTAGGATCTATCTAGACAGAAAATGGCCCTGCCTCACTTTTCCAGGGACCCTGGTAGCTGAAAGGGATAGCACATTCTCAGCCTCGGGGTATGGTGCATATTATCAGTAACAGTCAGCTAAATAAGCTGGGTTAGAGAAGTCAGCCAAGTGGAAAGACATGAAATGCCAAGTGCTAGAAGAGACTGATTAAAGCTTTAAACTGTGATCGAGCTAGAAGAGAAATGGAAGATTATGTACCTCTAAATTAGCTAATTTAAATATAATTTGTGTGCAAAGATAACTTGGCACTATAGTAAAACAGTTTATGTCCTTGTACTAACTCCACTAAACACTGTGGGGGTGGACTAGCCCAGAAGGGAAAGAGTAAAGGCTATAAATCTCAGGGTGTAATAGTCTGAAGAATCCCTTCCTAATCAATTGAGAAGCAGCCAAAAAAAAACCACTCCAGCAAGTAACAATAAGAACACAGTCTGGCTACTCACTCATACTTCCCATTTCAAAGCTGCCTTCTGGCATGTAATTAAGCTAAAGAAAAGCCATTCTGAAAACTTACATATTCAAACCTGTCTTTGCATAGCTGCACCATCAGATGCAGAAATACAAGCCCAGCAAACCAGAGACACCACATCACCACCTCTTCCACTGTCTGGACATTCAGCACACCAAAAATGAAAATGAACTTGTAGAAGATAAAGTTCCAAAACTTGTCCTTTAGGTGCTAAGGAGAAAAAATATAACGGAAAAAAGTTCATTAAAGGATCTACCATCATGAGTACCCCACATATTAAGATATTTCTCCATACCCAAAGTCAGTTCACATGGGAAAAAGTCTGCATTTAGCTACTTATTACCTTTCAACAAACAGTTTAAATATTTATTTCTAAGAAACAAGTGGCATGATGATCAATAGTGTGAAGGGAAAAAAGGGGGAAGGGTAGCATAGACAAAAATTACATATTAATCCTTTCATTGGGCATTTTGAAATAACCTAGAAAAACAGGTACTTATAAAAGAACTTTGCTAGCTTTGAGTTCTAATCCCGTATTTGTCAAGACCATTGCTATATATGTAACCTTCTAGTTATAAGGGATGATTATGTTGGTCTTCCATCCTAATTAGGACCAAAACTTTTTGGTATTTGAAACATGTTAAAAATGCTTATTATATGATTTTAAATGTCATGTTTTCATTTTCCTAAAATGTTAAGTTGCAGATCTAGTGCTGATTTGCACTGGCAGGAGTTTCCTGATGAAATCTCAAGTCTAGACTAAAAAAATATGAATGTATACTTATTAGTAGGTGATGGGGAAACTAAGGTTGCACATTTCATTTTTCAAGAAATAACTATAGAATCACTAGGTTTTCAGAATGGACTACAGAAAACTTTTATTCAGTGTTACTTACTGAGGCAAAATGGTATGCTAGATTTTGATGGAAAGTACAGTGGACTTGAATTTAGAAGACCTGTGTTTAAGTCCTGACTGCCATCTACTAGCTGTGTGACCTTGCAAAATCAGCTTACCTCTCTGGACTTCAGTTTCCAAATATTTCAAATATTAGAGTGGTACTACTCAGGGGTATGCTGATAAATGTTTAACAAGAGGCTCTCCAGAAATGCATAACACTTTAAAGTTTAATCTGCATTACTAACATTTTTGTCCACCATTTTCTCAACTCTAGACAATCAACAAATCAAGTCCAGATTTGTAAGGTCTGCCAGTTTTAAAGGTGTAAATGCTCCTACTAAAAACTGAACAATCAGTTCCTACAAGCAGTATGAGCTAGCTCCAACACACCTCTGATTATACTAAATGACAAACTTGTGAGGTAGGCATGACATGTATTCCCATTTTATAGATGAGGAAAGTGAAGGCTCAGAAAGGTTCAAGTCTTGCCTATGATCACATGGCTAGTTATATTGGTAGCAGGACTTGAACCCAGATCTTCCTGACTCCCAAGATCAACACTCTTATCTACTCTATCATACTATCTCTTCACACACCCTCTTAACTCACTGGTTTCAAATTCATGGGAAAATTACTTAATCTCTCTGGTCCTCAGTTTCCTCATTTGTAAAAATGAGGGGGTAAGAGTAGTTAATATGTAAGTTCCTTTATACTTCTAAGTCTATGATAATGTTCTACCAGGCTGGCCCTTTGCTTACACATGAACTTTTATTCTGAAACTTTTTACTGCAGGCCTCAGTTTCTTCATCTTTAAAAAAGGGAACTGGACTAAGTAATATCTGAGGTCCCTTTCATCTCTAACACCCTATTATTCTATCTGATAATAATTCGTCTGATTATACATACACTTAATATCTTTGAGTTCGATATTACACTCTCCCCTTCATAAGTTCCTAGAGAGTAAAGGTCATTATGACCTAATTTGTTTTGGATAGTTCCTAGCCAAGGAAAAAAAAAAGCCTTTTGGTAAGACTAATTATAAAATCGGCCATATTATATGATCTATAATATATCACATTTACACAGGACAAGGTAACCAACCATACAAAGAAATTCTCAGACTCTTAATAACCTGAAAAGTATCTGTAGAAGTGACAAATCTATAACTATAGTGCTGAATTCCAAAGGATCCATACTGAAAAATGCTATCTACCTCCTGAGAGAGAGCTGATGAACTCTGAATTCAGATTGAAGCATACTTTTTTCACTTTCTTTATGTTTTTTGTTTTTTATTGTTTTGGGGCTTTTTTTTGGCAATATGACTAATGTGGAAATATGTTCTGTATGACTTCACATGTACAACTGATATACTGCTTGCCTTCTCAATGGCTGGGGGAGAGATAGGAAGAAGGGAGAGAATTTGGAACTCAAAAAAAACTTTAAATGAATGTTTAAAAAATAGAAAAAATAAAATAAAAATGGTTTTGGATGACAAATACATTCTTTCAGTATTCACTCTACACAGTAGAGACTATCGCTAAAGCCCTCTATGTTCACACTTTTCTTTTTAAATGGTCACACTTCTAAGAATTCATCATCAGACTCAAATACAACAAAGAGGATAAGTAACATTGGGAGGAGAAAGAGAAAAGGGGAGATTTAGCTGACTCTCTTCATGTATCACCCTAAAAACAAAAGCAATATCACACATGGATTCAACACTATACCAGTTTAAGGTTCCATGTGGACAGCAAACTGACCTAAGCCTTCCTAATTTCCTTTCAAATGTAACTAATTTCTATCCAACAAATCAAGTGTTTATTGGGAGGAAAATAAGTATAAAAATGGCCATTATAGTCTGCAATAAACTATGTATTCCATTGGCCCTGTGGGGGGGACCACCATGGCTGACATTGTTTGTTGTTATTGAGTCATTTTAGTTATGTCCACCTATTTGTGATCCCTTTTTGGGGTTTTCCTGGAAAAGATACTACGGTGGTTTGCCATTTCCTTCTCCAGCTCATTTCACAGAGAAAGAAACTTAGGCAAACAAGGTTAGATGACTTGCCCAGGGTCACAGAGCTAGTAAGTGTCTGAAGCTGGATTTGAACTAAGGAAGATGAGTCCTGACTCCAGGTCTGGCACTCTATCCACTAGGTCACTCTGCTGCCTGAACTTTAGTAGCAAGTGCTAATTCTCTAATGTAAAGACTTTAGGGGGAATGAAAAAAATAACTGTAGTCCTCCTTAGAATCCAGGGGCTTAACCTTGTCATAATCCTATTTTAGTTTTAAAATGGCAGCCCATAAGACTCTCCAAAAGCTATCACATTTACTAATGCTGCAGTTCACAAAAGGCTAGACTAGAGGCTAAACATTTGGTCAAAGACCTTCATTTTATAGATGAGGAAACTGAGCCCCAGGGAAATAAAGTGACTTGCCAGAGACCAAACAGGAAGCAAGTGGCAGAGTCAGGATTTTACTGATCCAAAATCCAACAATTTTTTCACCATGGTACGTTGCTGCTTACACCAAGCCACTTACGTTTATCACATGGGATTAAAATTCCAAAGGGTCTGGAAAAGATAGAACTAGGAATTCTATTTGAAAACACTCCATGGTAAAAGGAGCAGTGCGACACCTAAAATTTAACAGAAGTTAAGTAAGCCACTGTATCTGTTTATTTACTAATAGGATCCAGTGTTTAATTAATGGAATAGTGAGTTGTTTTTTCTTTAAAAGGTCCTTTTTTCGAAGAAGACCATTCTGAACCCCTTTCTAGAGACAAACCATTCTCTATAAATACCCACTGCATCCCACAACTGTAAGGTGGGAAGAATTATTTTAGACAGCAGACGCTACCAGCAGACGCTACCTATATATACCTCCCGGGAATCATAAGCAGATAAAAAAGAAAGTTGTAATCAAATAAATGAATGAATGAATGAACGAACAAATAAATGGGCGAATGAGTGAATAAATAAATAAATAAATAAATATAAGCTGATAAATAAATCTAATCTAATAAGAGACAAACTGAGATTCTTACTGTTTTGATACAAAAAAATTTCTTGAGTAATTGCATTCTCTAAAATGTGATCTTTAAGAATATTCACCTACCTTAAATCTCAAAAAAATCTCACACACACACACACACATATCTGGTTACTAGACAGCTAGTGTTACTGCCCTACCTGTGTTGTTATGCATATAAATCACTTACCTGCCTCTCACTAACTCGAAGAGGACCAAATACGACACACTGGATTAGCTTGGCCACCAACATCAAGAAACAGCAAGCAGTATTTACCAATACCTGCACATAAACCCAAGAGAGGAACAAATTTTATTTCTCCTGCTGAAAAGATAAAAAGCAATATCAAAGACTTGGTAGTAGGAAATTCAGCCATAATTTCCAAGAAGTTGAAAATCAATTCAGTTTAGCATTTATTAAATGCCTTCTCTATGTACAACGTACCAGGCATTATGATATAAAAATTAAACACTGTGATACAAAAATAAACAGTCCTGCCCTCTAAGACCTTACATGATAACAGGGAAGATCAATCAACATTTATTAAGCACCTATTAGATGCCAGTACTATGTTAACTGATAGTGATACCAAAAAAAAAGTCTCTACCCTCAAGAAGCTTCCCTTCTATCAAGGGAAATAACATGGTACATATATTTAAGCATATATATAGAATTATTGTAATGTAGTTTTGGAAGGGAAGGCACTAGCAACTGAGGAGGATCAAAAAAGGCTTCATGTAGAAGCTACAGCTTCAGCTGAGTCTTTAAGAAAGTAAGATAAGGCATGTATAAAAATAATTGCAGGACAAAAGAATACAGTAAGTACATAGGAGAGCTTTAAAAGTATGTTATAAGGACAGAGGGAAAACATTTTTCTAAGACTAAGGAAGATTTCCTAAAGGTGGCATCTGAGCTGAGTCTTTAAGTTAAAGTGAAGGGATAAAGCAAATGAATCATTTCTAGTATTGAGAACAATGACAAAGGGAGAGAATCTGTTTACAGGAAAGAACGCATTTCATTTGGTTAGAAACTTAATCCTGCAAGTGTTGTTTTGTCATTTTCAGTCATGTCCGACCTCTTCATGGGGTTGTCTTGGCAAAGATACTGTAGTGGTTTGCCATTTCCTTCTCCAACTTATTTTACAGATGAGAATAGTGAGCCAAACAGGGTTAAGTGACTCACCCAAGGTCACACACCCAGTAAGTATCTGAGGCTGTATCTGAAATCAGATCTTCCTGACTCTAGCCCTGACACTAACCATTGCACCACCTAGCTGCTCTGTAAAGGTACATTTAAGCTACATTGGCCTTAAATGCCAAGCTAAGAAATTTCTCAATAAACAATGATGAACTGATGTTCTCTGGGGGAAGAGAAAAGTAATAAAATACGATTATAGCTGTAATAGATTAACCTGGCAGTAGAATGTAGTCAGTCAACCAGACACTGTGCTAAAACTCTGGAAATACAAAGAAGAGCAAAAATAACTTTGACCTCAATGAAATTACATTATAATGGAAGAAGACATTGTTTATACAGAATTGACAGAGGGGTCTTTGAGAAGAGAAGGCATCAGCAGCTTGAGTGACCAGAAAGGCCTTCTGGAGTTGGTGAGATTTGCATTGAGTCTTGACAGTCTGGAAGAAGTCAGGGAAACTAAGAGGCACAAGTTAAGGGATGGAACATTCCAGGCATGGGGGTTATTATTATTGAAGGCAAAAAATAGCCTCTTGTCTCAAGGGGTTTCTCAGTCTAATTGGAAGACAACAATTACAAACAGTGTGTATATACACACATACATACACACACACACAAATATATGTGTGTATATATATACACATATGTATACACACACACACACACACACATGTGAGATAGGAGTGTCATTATGTGAGGAATAGCAAGTGTCACTGGATCTAATGATGTGGCGGGGTGGGGGGGAGTTGTAAAAAGAAAGTGTAAGAAGACTTGGAAAAGTAGGCAGGGCCAGGTTGTGGTGGGTTTTTAAAGCCAAACAGGATTTTACGTTCAACCTAGAAGTAATGGGGAGTCACTGGTGTTGACTGAATAGGGGGGTGACACAGTCAGCCCTGTGCTTTAGAAAGATTAATCTGAAAGCTGAGTGGAAGATGGATTGGATTGGAGAGATTTGAAGGCCAACCAGCAGGCTACTGCAATAGTCCAGGGGTGAGGGAATGAGGGTCTGCACCAGGATGGTGGCACTGTCAGAGGACAGAAGAGGACTTAAATGAGAGACGTTTTAAAGGTAAAAATGACAGGACCCAGCAACTGATTGGATATGGTGGGTAAGAGAGACTGAGGAGTTGAAGATGACACCTCAGTTGTGAGTGTGGATAACTCAGAGGATGGTGGTACCCCTGACAGTAATAGGAAACTCAAGCAGAGGTGAGAGCTTAGGGGAAAAGACAATTAGTTCATTTCTGGACATGTTGAGTTTAAGATGTCCACAGGACATCCAGTTCAAGATGTCCAATAGGCAGTTGCAAGTGTGAAGCTTGAGGTCAGGAGAGAGGTTAGGGCTAGATAAACATATCTGAAAATCATCTGCATTTCCATGGCAGCTGATAAGATCACCAAGTGAAATAGTATAGAGGGAGAATGGAAGAGGGCCCAGGACAGAGCCTTTGGAGAAAAGCAAAAGTAGCAGAAGAAACCTGGATAAAGATCCAGCAAAGGAAACAGAGAAGGTATAGTCAGATAGGTATGTGAACCAGGAGAGCAGTGACATGAAAACACAGAGAGAAGAAAGTATCAAGAAGAAGGGATGATTGACAGTGTCAGAGACTAAAGAAAGGTCAAGGAAGATGAGAATTGAGAAGATGCTATTAGATTTGGCATTTAAGAGTTCATTGATAATTTTGGAGAGTTGTTTCATTTGAAAAGGTTGGGCCAGACAGCAGAGAGTGAAAGAAGAAGACATAGAGGTACCAATTAAAGATGGCCTTTTCATGGAGTTTAGTCACAAAAGGAAGAAAAGATATAAAATGACAGATCACCCTATAAATGGATGGGTCAAGTGAAGGGTTTTTGAGGATGGAGGAGACATGGGCATGTTTATATCACGGGATACAATCTAGTAGACAGGAAGAAAAGAGAGATAAGAGGCAGAGCAGGGAAGATAGAGGAGGCAATCTCTTGAAAAAGGATGGAATGGAATCATTTGTGCACATAAAAAAGTTAGTCTAGGCAAGGAGAAGGACTACCTCTTCATCTAAGACAGGTGTGAAGAAAGACATCTGAGTAACGTAAGAATACATAGAAGAGAGTAGAGTGAAATAAGTTTTAAAAAGCAGGAAGGGTCCATGTTATGAAAAAGTTTAAATGCCAAACAAAGGAGTCGATACATGATCCTGGAAATAATAGACAGCCACTGAAATTCACTTATCAGGGGGTGATATGATCAGACTTACATTTGAGAATAAACATCTTGGCAGCTGAGTGGATTATGGACTGAAGTGAGATGAGACTTAAGGCAGGAAGACCAGTTAAAAGGCCACTGTAATAGACTGAATAAAAGGTGGGGAAAGCCTAAACTCGGGTTGTAGCTAAATGAGTGGAGAGAAAGGGACATACATGAGAGATGTTGTAAAGCTAGAAATGACAACATCTGGCAATATGTATGGTAATAACCGACATTGTGGGCCTCAGTGAACAGGAGGATGATGATGATGATGATGATGATGATGATGATGATGATGATGATGATGATGTCTTCAAGAGCAATAAGGAAGTTTGGAAGACAAAAGGATGAAGGGGGGATAATGAGTTCTGTTTTGGACATGTTGAGTTTGAGGTACCTAGAGGATCATCGGTTTGAGAAGTCCTTAATAGTATTTGGCAATGCAGAACTAGAATTCAGGAGAGAGAGACTACACATGGAGAGAGAGATCTGGGAATCACTTTGAGTATTGGGGGAGGGGTGGAGAACCTGATTTCAGAGAGGGCTCAAAGATGGAAAAGAAAGGAAAAGGTTGGGAAAGTAAATTAACTCTCCTGAACTTCAGTTTCCTCCTCTGTAAAATGAGATGCAGATGGTCTATAAGCTCCCTTCCAGTTGTACATCTGTTATCTCTTAATCCTATATAACCAGAACAAGGGAAAACTAGAAATCAATGAAGAGGCCTTAGAGAATCATAGATACATTTTGTCAAACATATCATAAGACACATCTACAAAACAAAGAGTCACAGAATTTGTAGTTGAAGAAGAGTTAAGATATCATCTAGTTCAACCAATGAGAAAATTTAAGGTTCTGTGAGATAAGATATCTCATTCAAGATCAAGAAGGCAGAAGGTGGCTGTCTCAAAATTTGAACCCAAGGCCTCTCTTTGAAGACATAATGCTAGAACTTAGTTTATCCAACAAAAGGAGGACATAATGCTCTCGATGATGATGATGATAGCTATAAAAGCCAAGCACTGAACATTAGGGCAGAAAAATAGAGAAACGTAGGCCAAAAAAAAAAAAAGACAAGAAAAAGAGAAATGCCAAAAGAAGGAAGACAGAATCAAACAAGGAAGAAAGGGGTAAAGTTGGGTATGGGTTTCAAAATTAAAGCCTCTTAATAGCTTATGGGTAAAAAGACTCAACAGCACCCTGAAAGACTTCCCTGAATTCACTATGTTTATAGAGTTTCTCTCCAGTGTGAATCCTCTAAAGTTGATTTAATACTGAGCTCTAACTAAAGGCTTTGCTCCAGTGATAGCATGCCCAGTTTCTTTTCAGTCTGGGTTCTTTAATGTTGGGGAGGAGGGGGGAGTAATGTCCCAACCAAATTTTTCCTAGTTTCTTCCCAGCATAAATTCTCTGACACCTAATAAACATTAAGTCTTGACTAAAAACAATTCCTATAGTCATTAAAATGGTAGGGCTTCTCCCTACCATTCTTTATTATTGAAAAATTAAGGGATAATAATTCTATCTCATTTACATTAAGTCCCTATCTTGTACATGGCACTGTGCTAGGTACTGGGGACACAAGAATGAAAAATAAAAGATCCCTGTCTTACAATGAAGTTGGTAGGGGGATAAGACTCTCTCTCTCTCTCTCTCTCTCTCTCTCTCTCTCTCTCTCTCTCTCTCTCTCTCTCTCTCTCTCTCTCTCTCTCTCCCCCCCCTCTCTCTCTCTCTCTCACACACACACACACACACACACACACACACACATACACACACTGTACTACAACTGACATTTACATAGCGATTTATAACTGTTAAAGCCCTTTCCAAAGATTCTCATTAAAGTTTGACTCTGTGAGGTTAG